CTGGCAGGCAGAAGTGGTTATGGTCAATCAGGAAGGCAGGCAGGCGAGCAGTTAGAAGCCAGCAGACCTGGATTGTGAGAGGGATCCCAGATTGGAGAGGGTGCAGGCTGGGCAAATGAACCCCCCTCCCCCATGCACGAATTTTGTGCACCTGGCCTCTAGTGGTGGTATAAATGGGTAAGTTTTTAGGCTAACCTTTAAAGACCTGCTTAACTTATCAAATAGCTGAACTAATATATTTGTGATGAAAATATTAGGAATTTCTCATTTCAGATGCACATTAGTTCTACTACATGTCTAAATAAACACTTTTGTTTATGATGAGAGGGTAAATAGTGGTGCCATGAAGATGTTCCCATCAAGGCTGTGGAGAGAAAGCTGTTGGGAATGTGTGTGGCTCCATGTCTTGTAGGGCAGCAACCAGCCATTGGCATGGAAACAATCTTGAGTCAAGTGTTTGTATATCAGGGGTATCCAAAGGTTCTTACTAGTTATAAAATAATCTCGAGAGAGTGAATAAAAAGTTTATATATTTTGAAATTTCTGAAGCAGATATTAATGTTGGAAAATGCTTTTGATGCATTTACAGATAACATAGTCACATATTTAGTGATCATTTTTGTATTTGTTTTTCTCCCCTTTATATATTATATTTTTAATCTCTGTATTTGGCTTTATTCTTAAAATGATTCTTTTTAGTTTTCAATCAAAGGAATTTAATTCACTTAACTTAAAGGTACTGTAATATTAATAGTTAAAATGGATTTAAGTAAGGAATTGTTCTATTTTTAATCCTTTACTAGGCATAATATGTTTTTATTTCAAGAGGTTTTCATGCCATAAACTAGTTTGGCTCAGTGGACAGAGTGTCAATTTTCTGACTGAAGGGTCCTGGGTCTGATTTTGATCAAAGGCACATTCCTGGTTGAGGACTCAATTCCCATAGGGGGCATGCAGGAGTCAGGCGGCCAATCAATGATTCTCATCATTGATGTTTCTATCTCTCCCTCTCCCGTCCTCTCTGAAATCAATAAAAACCTTTTTTTTTTTTTAAAGAGGATTTCATTATATTGCAGCTATTTTTTTTTTTTTTTTTTTACCACTTTTAGATTTTATTCTTATGAATTTAGTATGATTTTTGACAAAGTGATATTTTGGAAAGTTATTTATAGAATATAGAAGAGCAAGTGTTTTGGATTCTAGGAAGTATGGTTCCACCTTGTTCAATTCTGGGTACATTTTTCAGCTCTTGCAGCTTGTTTCCTTATCTATCCAAGGAGGCTAATGAGACCTGCATACCTCACAGGGTTGGTTGCTAAAGATATTACATAAGATTGATTGTGTATGCCAGCTCATACAACTATAGGGATGAGCTGTCAGAGGGTCAGTGAGGGAAAGTTTTCATGCCATTGTGTTTCTCTTCTCTGAACTCCTTTTTATAACCTAGTTTCTCAAAAGAATAATCTATACTGATTCACTTTTAATCTCTCCCTTTGTAAAAAAAAACAAAAAAACAAAAACAAGAACACAAGAACAGCAGTATTTAGTATTAACATTTGTAATGTTAATTGCTTTGTTTTCTGTTTGCTTTGTTTGCTTTCAGGTCTATCAATTTTTTCCTGTACACTCCAATAAGACTGTAAAATTCCTCTCACTGTGGTAAACACTTCAGGTTATCCATCAAATCCATTTGATAACTTTAGGTTAACTATCAATCTTTTTCTTTTTCTTGAGGTATTCCTCTGGGAGCCTTTTGTCTTCCTGTTCTAATCTGGAATGTTGCTCTCTAGGCCTGGTGCAAAACTTACATCCTGTCTGTTCCTTTCCTCATCAGCCTGGGAATTTCCTTTCCTTCTCTAATGTTTTGAATCATGTTTCCTGGTTCCTGTGTTTTCTTCTTTCTTGATTTATTCTCTTATTTTGGTATAGCACTTTCTCTTCCACCCTACTTCCTATCCGCCTCCTCTCCAGTCTCTAGCACCAATTCCATTTAAGGTGACTCTATAACACCTGTGAAGCTTTTACTCTCCTTTCAATTCCTCTGTTGGATTGACCTCACCCTCCTTTGTGCCTACACAGAACCCTCTATTATAGCCTTGTCCATCATATGTATGGATCACTCTACAAGTCAAGCTCTGTGTTCAACACTGGGGAGTCCAAAATTGAGAGAATGAGGTTCTTGTTCCCAGGCAAGTTCTGATAGAGAACAAACACCTTGGTTCTCACTGGAGGCAGTACTGCCCCCTAGTGGTTCTTTTGAAAAAAGGGGGTTCAGAGAGTTGGCCTGTGGACTGAAGGATTCTGGGTTCAATTCTGATCAAGGGTATATGCCTGGGTTGTGGGCTCGATCCCCAGTAGGGGGCATGCAAGAGGCAGCCAATCAATGACTCTCATCATTGATGTTATTATCTCTCTTCTCTCTCTCCCTTCCTCTCTGAAATCAATAAAAATATATTTTGAAAAATTGGGGGTTGGAAAGTGTTTGGTTAACTACATTAATTGGGGGGAGGAGGTACAACTGGCATTTTGTAGTCAGAAGATAAGAATACTGAATGTCTTATATGTCCAGTACAACTTAGAATATTCCACCAGACATTTATGTGTGAGCATATGTTTATAATTATCCAAGCCTGGGGCCTAACTCCTTTTTACACACAAACCCAAACTACTCTTGGTACTTTCTACATTGTCATTGCTTGTGCAGCAGATGGAGGACAGTTATTGTCCATCAGTATGGGTTTATAGACAATTAAAAGTAGCACGTGTTCTTAAAAAATTAAGGATACCTTGGATGATAGATTCAAATGAAGAATATGATTGTCTTGCCCTATACATAAAAGTAGGACAATTTTCTTTTTTTTAAAAAAATATATTTTTATTGATTTTGTTCAGAGAGAAGGGAGAGAGTTAGAAACATTGATGAGAGAGTCACCCCCTACTGGGGATATGCCCGCAACCAAGGTACATGCCCTTGACCAGAATCGAACCCGGGACCTTTCAGTCCCCAAGCTGACGCTCTATCCATTGAGCCAAACCGGTTTCGGCAAGTAGGACAATTTTCTAGAGTAAATATTTAAAAAGATTTTGTTTGTTATTGTGTGTGCATTTATATACTGCATTAGGGGGTACATACAGTGCACAGCTTGATGACTTTATATCCACACACATTAACACATGTAATTCGACTTTGCTCTAGAATGTGGAGTGTCTGCATAGTTGGGAAACAGGATAAACTTATTTTTAAACAGTGTGTTAGATGTATTTTCAAGTAATATGCCCATTGCATTTTCATGTGTACAATAAATATAATTGTTAGACTATAGGGGACTATAGACTTGGGAAGCAATTACATTGCTATTTTTACTAATCTCAAACTGAAATTTAGCATTTTCTTTCCATTTAGAATACAGGAAATGGTGGTATTACTAGCCATGCCTGTAACTTTTTTTGCTACCAGAAGCCACAGATATTTTCAGTTTCAGTTGTTGCAGATACTTCACAATATTGTTTATACTCATTATTTTCATATACAGTAATTATCAGATCTGCCACTTGATGATGTTATTTAAATCACTAGTAAAGGGACACATATTACATATACAACTTTTAAATAATCATATTCTGAAATTCGAGAGTAAGCAAAACTAATGTATAATGATAGAAATCACATGAATGGTTGCTTCTTATAGAGAAAGTTGACTGGGGAATGGGAACGAAAGAATTTTCTGGAGTGATGGAAATGTCCATCCTGGTATATATTTGTTAAAGGTGATTGAATGCTAAACTTAAAATATACATTTCACTGTATGAAAATTATATCTCAATTAAAAAAACAGTACATTAAAAAAAAATTCTAAGAAGAGGTCCATAGGCTTCACTGGATTTCAAAAGAAACTTCTGATAACAAAAAAGGTTAAGAGCCCTTTCCTGAGCCCGTCGTGTTACTTACTACCTTTGAGTGCCTGCTCTTTCAGTGCCTGCTTTCAACTTTGAGTGCCTTTCTCTCATTTGCTTTTACTATTCGTTTCCTTTTTTTCTAGAAGTGTTCTCACTTTTTTGAGCTAAGGAAAGTCAGGAAAAAAAAATAGCAGCTATCGAAGAAGTTATTTTCTTGACTTACTTGCCAATCTCTTGAAGCTGATATAGTTATGTACTTGTTTGCCTAGACTGAGAAGTTTCTGCCCTAGCTGGTTAGAGTATGCTCCCATGCACCGAAGGGTCTCGGGTTTGATTCCCAGTCAGGGCACTCGAAATAAAAAGAGGAAATTTCTAGTGACTAAAAACTAACTTGTAGACAATTTCATAATGGACTGATTTTTCATATTTCTGGTTTTTCATGGAGTTTAAGTTTTATTCCTCCATAATTGAATATGCAGTTCTGTTATGAAGTAGCTGTGAACATTTATAACAAAGATTAAAAGAAAAGAAAATGTATTTGGAATTAAAAAAGCATCAAAGAAATTTAAAAAAGCATAAAAAAAAAGCATCAAAGAAAAGAAAAATTAATATACTACTGACAGTCTATTCCAGAAATTCCATTTAAGGTATCTTTGGATACAGTGTGAATACAAATTCTAAAATACAAATATGTTTTATTTTTATAAAATTCAGAATAGTACAAATATCAAATATTAGCCTATGTTTATTTTAAATGTGATGATAGGGCTTAAAGATGTCAAACATAATGGTAAACAATATATGGAACAAATATATGGAACAAACAAACACTTCTTCTGCAGTCACAGTGTTAAGACTCTGTTGTCTATCATCTTATGTGTATAACTATTAGTTTTACTCTACTGTTCTTATGTTTTTTAGTCTTCTTATGTATCTAGATAAATTTAAAAGGACTCTTGTTTTAATAGATTTTAAACTATCCTAAGAAAGCTTGAACTAAGGTGAATAGTCCTGACAGATGTTTATCTACGTAGCATCTACATGTTTTTTATAATGTTATTAGACTTAAAAATGTAAAATACTGTTCGGCGGTTTCTTTGCAGCCTCTCGTGTGGAAAATTTGAGATGCAGAGGAGAAACAGTAGCAAAGGAGATCAGTGAAGCCATGAAGGTAAAAGCTATATGCTAAAAAATTATAAAATGAACTAAATCTGTAGCTAGGTATTTGCTTTTAGCAGACACATCTGTGTTAGTCTATTGTAATAGGAATTCTTAGTAGTTTTTAAAATCGGTCATTAATGATTTAATTAAGCAACAGTGATATTCAGAATAACTACCATTTATTAGATACCTACTGTGTGCCAGTATTATACCTGCTTCTTTAAAGGTTGGTTATATTTTTGAGTTCTGAGAGTTAGCAGTCAAACAAACAATTTTGGATAATAATACCAGCTAACATTTAGTGAACAGTTAGCATGGATTAGGTACCATCTAACTGCTTTACATATATTATGTTACCTCATCCTTCTAATAACCCTATGAGATAGATACTGCTATTTCCCTACGTTACAGATGAAGAAACAGGCACAGAGAGGTTAACTAGAGTTACCAAATAAGTAATTCAGCCAGGATTTAAACTAGTTATTTGGCTCTAGAGCTTATACTATTACCCACTATAGTTTATAGCATATCAAATTGGAGTCTTAATATCTTCTGTACTAATAAAAGGGTAAGTTTTGTACAACCCCAAAATTTAGGTCTTAACGAAAGCCTGGACCCATAGAATTAAATTCTAGAGTGTTGTGTCTGTCCCTGTGTGTGTGTTTCAACCTGAGATTAATTTTGAGTATTATTGTTTGTTTACTTTTTAAGTCCTTGCCTGCATTAATTGAACAAGGAGATGGATTTTCCCAAGTGTTAAAGATGCAGCCTGTTATCCAACTCCAGAGAATCCACCAGGAAGTCTTTTCCAGTGGTTATAGGGAGCCAGATGCTAAACCTGAGAACTTTATAACACAAATAGAAACCACACCAACAGAGACTTCTACCAGCAAAACCACTAACGTGGTACTGAAAAGAAAGCAAACTAAAGACTGCCCCCAGAGAAAATGGTATCCATTGCGGCCAAAGAGAATTAATCTTGATACGTAAGCTATTTTTGTTTATCTCGGGAGTTGAAATTAGACTGTCATCATTTAGATTAAAGTCTGATGCCTAGACAGGACTTCATTTAAAATAACAAGTAACTCTTTAGTGATTTCTTTATACAGATGTAATAACTCTGTCCTGGGGTATGATGTAATATTGTATTTCCTCAATGTTTCGTCTATAGTTGATGAAAAGCATAGTTTTAAAATGTTGGCACAAAGCCCATCAATGGATATAAACAGTACAGTCTTTTACTGTCCTAAAATGCCATCAACTCTTGGCTGCTTTTATGGAATTTTTATGAGTAACATTCTGTCAGTTTTCTGGATCTACTGCTTTCTTTTAAAAAGAGCTGTGTAACAGTTGTCTTCATTTAAGTGCTGAGAGGAATCACCAGTTCTGCACTGGAACACATGGAGGTTTTTTTTTTGTGTGTGTTTTTTGTTTTCAATGTGATTTCTTTTATCAAATGAATGTGCAAATGAAAGACTAGCTTTGACTTTGTCACTAGTTCAACTAATTTAGATATGTGAGTATAATTGTAGGAAGTTTTGTTTTTATTTTGTGTTATAAGACAAGACAGCTATTATTTGTGCAAGAATTTCTTCCAATATTTCTTGTCCACACTTTGTTTTCCATAGACCTTTTAATTTTTAAGCATAATTTGACTTGTGAATTATATTTTTAAAGGATTTCTCATTATTTCTTTGTATATGACTCCAGTTCAAAAATATATATCAGAGTAATACATTAAGAAATTGTCATGTGGAATAAATATAGATATAATCATACTGAACTATTTTATTTTTAAGGTTGTTTATATATCAAGGCTATAATCATTGGTAGAAGTCTGAAAAGGCTATATTGCCCATACTTGGAATATTTATCTACAGTTCCTTATAGCTCCTGCTGTCTTTTCTCACACTAACACAATGTAGGCAGGGCCATCTAACTTGCCAACTGTTTCCCCTTTTAATGATTATACCTTCATTCATTTGCAAAGGAATTTATTAATCATGATGTTGGAAATCTTTACTTCTTGTGTTTATTATGTGTTAATGATCATAAATGTCAAAATGTGACAGAAAGTCTATCTCAATTAAGAAAACTTACATAGCCACTTTATGGTATTCTGTATTTTAATGTTACAATTTGAGATCTGTACATTTGTATAAAGCATTTTATTTTTTAATTAAAATGTGCAATGAGCCGAAACCGGTTTGGCTCAGTGGATAGAGCGTCGGTTTGCGGACTGAAAGGTCCTAGTTCGATTCCAGTCAAAGGCATGTACATTGGTTGCAGGCACATCCTTGATGTGGGGTGTGCAGGAGGCAGCTGGTCGATGTCTCTCTCTCATCGATGTTTCTAGCTCTCTATCTCTTTCCTCTCCCTTCCTCTCTGTAAAAAAAATCAATAAAATATATTTTAAAAAATAAAAAAAATAAAATGTACAATGACTAAAATTTTTATACTGTGTTTTTTTAAGAGTTGTCTTAGGCATTTTAAAAAAATATATATTTTTTTATTGATTTTTTTACAGAGAGGAAGGGAGAAGGATAGAGAGATAGAAACATCGATCAGCAGCCTCCTTCATGTGCCTACAACCAAGGCACATGCCCCCGACTGGAATCGAACCCAGGACCCCTCAGTCCACAGGCCGATGCTCTATCCACTGAGCCAAACTGGTCAGGGCTGTTTTAGGCATTTTTGAACTCAGCTTTAGTTGAATGGAAGCTCAGTACCTCGCATTTTAGAATGTACTAAGTTATTTTTAAATTGTTTGAGGCTACAGAATATTGTTATTCTAAGGCAGTGTTTTTTTATAGTATATAATTCTGTATGAATTGTTGCAAACAAAAGATTTATTAATTCTCCTAGATTAGATAATTGCATTCTGATTATAAAAGAAAATGTTTCTCTTTTTAAAATGATACATACAGAGATGCATATTATTTAGTGAGCTTGATGTCTTGGACTTGCTCTGTAATATGTTAGCAAAGGGGAAAGGAAAAGGAATAGCTTAAGCAAATGTGGTAAAAATCTCGATAATGTTGAATCTGTGTGCTAGATATATTCTTTCTACTCGTGTATCTGTTTGGAAATTTGTATAATAAAAAAATTTTGTTCTATTTTATTTTAATTTTTTATTCTCACTTGAAGATACTTTTTCCATTGTTTTTTTGTTTGTTTGCTTTTGTTTTTTTTTAGAGAGTGGTTGGGAGCAGAGGGAGAAGAGAGAGAGAAAGAGAAAGAAGAAAAATATCAATGTGAGAGAGACACATCGATTGGTTACTTTCCACACGTGCCCTGACTGGGCTAAGATCAAATCTACAACCCAGGTACGTTGCCCTTGGCTAAGAATCGAACTCGAGAATCTTCGGTGCAGAGCCTGATTCTCTAACCACTTACGTACACCAACCAGGTCAAGTTCTATATTAAAACCCCAGACAGACAGCTGAAACTTGAAGTCCCTCAGCAAGTCCAAAGTTTCACTCCATAGTTAGAACAGTCTATATTCAGGTGTTCAAAGAAATGAATAATTAAATAAAATAAATCAGGCATGCATTCTTTGCAGAAAGCTGTACAAGAAAAATGTAATCACAGTTAGAGATTGACCACAGTGAACAGTCTTTATATGAGCATAATAATGAACATCCCAAATATGAATTCAATAGGAAATTGGGACAGTTACATGGGGAAGGCCAGAGGATTGGGTATTAAAGATGAATGTGGCACAGGCACTGGACAGTCAGAATGGGTAGTGGTCCAAGCACTGGAGCGGGGTTCTGGAGGGCCCCCTTAGCTGCTGGGTCCTGGGGAAGGCCAGGGTGTGCCAGCACAGGAACTGAAACAGGCAGGTCGGCCTGGAGAGGGCACTGAGGAAGCGTCTGCCCTGCCTAGCACAGAAGTTAATTTTGCTGTGGTAATGTGTGACCGCCTGAATATCAGCAATGAAATGGGAATGTTTGGGAATGAAGTGTTCATCACAATGCGACATCAGCGCCTATTTGTAAAATAGCTGAATCAAGGGAGAGCACCATTTGGATATTATTCTGGTTAGGAGAAAAACAGCTAAGAGAGTGGAAAGTAGTTAACTTTGTGAATGAATCTAGGGGAGGAAAGTAAGCCAAGGAACTGTTTTTTTTTTTTTTTTTTTTTTTTTTTTTTTGTGGTTGACATAAGCCTTATACATTTTATTCTTTTAATTATGTGCATAAAATAGTTGCATAAAAATAAATTTGATTTTTAAATGATTTAAAACTAACACAAATGGAAGTGAGTATAAGTTGTCTTTGACACTATCTTCGTATCATTGAGAATTAAGACATAAATTATATGCCAGAGGCTTCCATGATCTCAGTATATTTCAGATAAGACTTGTAGTGTCTGATTTTAGCTGAGACATTTAGTTTGGGTTTCTTTGGAGTTCTTCCCCCGACCCCCCCCCCCCCCAATTATTTGTTTTGCAAGTAGATTCTATTATCAAGCCTCTGTGTACAAAAATGAAGGGAAAAAAATATATTTCTAAAGCAGCGGTCGCCAAACCACTGAAGGGTTTGTGGGGATTTTATATAAAAGGACTTGGGGAAATCAATATTTTATTTATTTGAAGCTTCAGGGTTGAAGAGTCCTCTTGTGTTCATTGCTGTATCTCTGCATTGCTTATACCCTGTGGACCCTTTGCTGCTATTAGTTGAATGAATGAATGATTTTATATTGCAAATTTCTAACATCACTTCCCCCAAGTCACAATCTCAGGCACAAATGACTTGTGGAATTTAAAAGCTGCCTCCTGCACCCCCCACCCCCCCCCCACACACACACACACACACACACTGGGGATGAAGCCTGCAACCCGGGCATGTGCCCTGACCGGGAATTGAACTGTGACCTTTAGGTTCATAGGTTGACACTCTACCACTGAGCCACGCTGGCTAGGCCATACTCATTATTCAGCTTAGAAGATGGGCTTACTTTTGCAGGGGATGGGGGTGGAGGTGGGGTTTAAAGGACTGAGAGCAAATCACTAGGAGAACTGTCTGAATTAGAATTCTCATTTTATGGCTATTCGAGCTTGAAGCCTAGTCACCAGTTCCCTGCCCGATCAGAGAAGAGGGTGGCGTTCACACCCCTCAGACTGACTCCGGATGCTAGAGATACATCTGCCTCTGACCCTCCTTCCGGTGGCTGCATTTCCTTGACTTCTGGATGGTCTGGGGGAGCCAGGGAAGACCTGGCTCCTCGGGGTCCCCTGCTGCAGCTCCTGTCTATGACTGTGAAGGGCCAGGCTGCCTAGCATCACCTCAGCTAGCCCCATTCAGAGAATGGCTCCCATGCTCCTGGGCTCAAATGGATTGCAGGGCCTCCCTTGCTGCCCATGTGTGTGGCTCTATGGCCACTTCCTCTGTCATGACGCACTGGAGTTTTCTGCCCATTTCTGCCTCTCAGGTCACCTTGATGGAACATGCCCCTCTTCACTAGTCCCTGGTATCTGAGACTTGAGCATTTTTTTCTTGTTGTTCCTTCAAACTCTTCTGAGGTTTAGTTCTTCTATGACACAGCCAGTGGTGACCTCTTCAGGTTCCTAGCTGCCTGAGTCACCCCAACAGCCCCTCAGCGCCCCTCCACCCCCACCCCCACACACACACACCTCTGCCCTTTGGAGACCAGCTGATGCAGTAGCTCTTTCTTTGATAAGAGCCCCCTTATTCCTTTATTCCCACTTTTGAAGCTCCTTTTCTTTCAACCATTTTACAGTTGAGCATCACCACCAGAAGACCAGGTAGGAAAATCAGAGGGGACGCTATGACCTGCATGTCTTACTTTATTTCCTTCCCTATTAGAAAAAAAAAAAAATTTTTTTTTTTTTTATAGGGAAAAAGGTTCACATGAGTGTGGTATGAATTTTCTCTGATCTCTGAGTATGCCATATCAACCCAGCTCTGTTCCTGTGGGAGTGTAGAAATTATGGGACTGAAAGAGAAGGGGGGGGGGGGGAAAAGGAAAAGAAACTAAGGGCCCAAACCGGTTTGGCTCAGTGGGTAGAGCACCAGCCCGTGGACTGAAAGGTCCCAGGTTTGACTCCACATCCCCAGTAGGAGGTGTGTAGGAGGCAGCTGATTGATGTCATCTCTCTCATCAATGTTTCTAACTCTCTATACTTCTCTCTTCCTCTCTGTAAAAAATCAATAAAATATAAAAAGAAAAAACTAGGGGATGGCAGTGACAGAATAATAACATGTGGCCAACTTGCAGGGCACCTCTGCTCCAGGTCCCACACATCCAGCTTCAGAGCCTTGTGATCTTCCCAGTCACATACCAAACAATATTTTCAAATCATTTTTTATAATCTCTGTAAATATTTCTCTCTTTTCCCATCCAGTACGGCTAGAGAGCGGTCCAGTTCCTGAGGAGGGGCAGCTGGGGATTGAGAAAATGAAAGAAAAAGACAGACACAGAGATATAAGCTTTACTAAAAGTCAAGGAAGCTTTACTAAAAGTCAAGACGAGATTATTTGCATTCTTGGGTGGGCCCAAACTGTATTCATTCCTGGTGCTTGGCTGGATTTACATAATAAAACCCACTCCCAGCACCTGGGCAGAAGTGAAGGTCAAGCTGACAACACTTCTGCCTTTTGGCAGGATGTGTTTCCAGCTCTGTGGCTTTCCCTACCGCCCTGGATTCAGCTGACAATGTAAAGAAATGCCCATGTGCCTTCCCAGGGGCTCTCTACAAATCACACCTTTGATTCTACAAATAGTCAGTGAAATATAAGTGTGCGAAGGTGTGTGGGTCTTCTCGAGTGAACCAAAGCATAGACCCTGCTCTCTAGCATCAACCATTAGTCACAAGAGACATCAGTGGCAGCTGGGAATCCAGTGTGTGACAGTGAGAGGGGGCGGAGGGAAAGGCCCAGGACTGGAATGGGAGGGGTAGGGGGAATCCATACTGTTGCTGGGGTTCCAGGCACCCAAAGGGAAGATGAGACTGAAACTCATGGGTTTTCAGATTTCTGTGGAATTAGCTGTTGGCGAGAAATAGTTTTGCCTGGTTTCGGAAACCGATGGAACACTAAGAAATTGCTGTAATTTACTGGCAAATGTAAATACTTAACTTGCAATTTCTCTTTGGTATAAGCCCAACCCAATGAGTTTTTCTTTTAAAGGAGATTTTCAGATTTGACAGAGGAGAAATACTTCGAACTAAAATGAATCCCCATTTGTCTCACACTGACAGGGGTCAAAAGTTCAAAAACATAAGTGTTGCACTCTCTCTGCTTGGGTGATGGACTTTATGACCCCCAACCCCCAGCACTCCCAGACGTGCTCTCCCTGAAACACCGGACTTGCTGGGGACTCTGCCCATCTCCCCTCCTCCCTGCTGCTAACTAAGTCAGAAAACAAACAAACAAACAGGAGGGAAGAGCTGAGATGTGTCAACAAAGGGGCCAAGACCAAGTTCACCCCCGTGTAGTCTGTGAAGGTATTATACTCTGGAGAGGTGCCAAACGATATATGTGATGTGCAGATAAGCCTGTGGTTCCCTTCGCTAGGTAAGATATTACATGAGAGCGTCAGAACTCTCAGAAACCATTGTGTGCTTCTCCCAGAAAACTTATTCCGTATCTCCCTATAAATATGATTTGAAAAAAATATCTGAACCTCACTGTCAGGTTTGTTCTAGCTACATGAGATCACAATTTATTCTACTCTTTTATTCGAGATACAAGATTACCCAGAGGAAGAGATTGAGTAAAGCCAACAACTGTAACATTGCAGCAAAATTGGCTGAAAGGCCATTAATTGTATGAATTACAGAATTGTTTAAAGCAGCATATTTTTAAAACAAGCATATAAAATAATTACTGTAGCCTCAGAATTTACAAAAATAGTTTCCTATAAATGTTTGAATACAATCTTATTAATTTATTTGCTGAAGGTAACAGTATAAAATAATAATTACCATGTGTCAGTAATAAAATATTAATAATTACCATTAATAAAATACCATTAATTCTCAAAAACCATTAATCCCAAGTCCCAGCTGAACCCAGCCTCCAGCCAACTGAGATCATAGCACTGTGAGCAAATAACCACTTGGTTATTGTTTTAAACCAAGAACTTGGTGTGGGCTGGTTATTCAAAAGGCCTGCTGGTACCGTGACTCTGCTTGATTATTAAATTTCTAAGGATTGGGTTTATCAAAATATCGTGAAGCCACTTTGGAAGATCATATACTCTTCTCCTGCTTTCAGGAATTATAGTTTATTTGTTTTGGCATCAATTTTTGTGTAACAAATCATTCCATAA